GTCTTTAACTTATAATGAAACTTGATAAAAAATTCCTTGTAAAAATAATAATAATAAAGACCGTGTTTACAATGAAAACTGTCCCGTACACACGAGGAGAAGCAAACGTACAATTTCTCAACAACGTCCTAACCATATGTTTTCATCGCCCTGGAGAATAAATGCAAGAAAGTACTGCATAGCCGACCCTGCTGGGATTAAATTTAACAATTTCAAATAAAAGCACTAATCTTCAAGCATCGATACCCAAATAATGAGACTTCGCTACAGCGTTTGCCAAAATTATGGAGGCAATTGGGGCCCTGTTTAAAACATTCAATCATAGAAATATTTCAAAGTACATACAGCTGTATAATAGAGAACAGCATGCTAATTACAATCCTCAGGAATGGTACTCTGTGGACACACAAACAGAGAGCGCATGAAATGCGAAAGCTACAATCCTGCACAAAAGTTGCTTCAAATCGCAGCGACTCCTTTCTCATAAAAATCTGACATTCTAGTTAAGCACCAAGGAGTGAAAGAAGACTTACTTCCAAGAAAACGTTGTAGCCTGACGCTACAGGGTCATATCTCCCCCAATATTAAATCTATTCAACTCCTTCACCTCTCTGCCACCTAAAACTGCAGTTACTAATTGTAAAACTTCCTCTCAGAGGAACCTTTCAAAACTAGTATCTTTAAAAAAAAGAAAAAATAATTTGAAGTGCATTCTCAGGCAAGTCTAACCAGTTTTCAGAACAGTATTTGGATAAGATCTTTCATGAACATATCGTGTAAACTGGCAAAAATGTAAGAGTTTACTTCTGCCTCTCCTCTCCCAATTCTAGAAAAAGGAGCTGCAGTATAATCAAACCTGCCTCTCTCTCTCTTCACATTTTCTGCCACACAAATATTTCAGTATTTCACACAACACAGCTGAATGGGGTTATTTCCCCAGTGTAAATTTTCCCAACTCACTCTATTAGGCACGGCAATTCCAGCAACAGCCATGGTACAAATAGTCCGGTGCCAAGAAAACTGACCAATAATTAAAGAAATTATTGCTGAGCTCATTGCTTATTTTTATAATGAAACTGCTGACTAACTTTAAAAAGAAATCCCTCCCTATTCAGGGCAGCAATTGATGCACCCAGTATGTTTGTTTAATGAAACCTCTGGTAATGTCTGGGACCAAGACTGCTATAATTAACACACCCAAAAGAGAACAAAACCCATCCTGATAAAAAAGCTGCTGCCAAAGTTAATGAAACTGCCCATCCAAAGCTCCTTTCCGACACCCCTGTGAATGCAGACGTTCTGCATGCTTGCTTGCAAACAAGATTCGCCCAAGAACGTCTTGTGGGAATCCAACCAGGTTGTTTTCCCTGATCAACAAACCCTTGAGAGAGCCTGGTTCTCCTCAGCTAGAAACCGTAACCACATCAGTTGTTCCATCCCCGAAGGACGACTGAACCCCACTGCAGATAAATTATAGACCTGTAACACACAGGATGGCAAGACAAAACCACCCAATTCAAGGAAACAGCCCTGCCAGACTTCCTGATTGCAACATCTGGTTTATCTAACTGACTTTGTTTCGCCAACCTAGCCCGTGCACTGTTAGGAAACCATGGTTTGGAGCTCACTGCAAGAAACCCACTCTGCCCAAGGCAGCTTATTCAGCAAACAATGATGTAATGCACTGTATAATCACGAGCAGAGATTCTTATCTGGTTTAAATGTTTGGAGCAAACTTCAGGACTTGAAATAGATAAAGGATAAGCAATGGGGCAGAGTTCCTGAAACTAAATAACCAGGATAAGATCACCGCACCTGCAGGATCTTAAACACTATTTTAAATTCCACGGGAAAAAGGAAGATATGGAAATAATAATAATAATAATAATAATAATAATAACAACAACAACAACAACAACTGTGATCTCACTAAAGATTTAATAATAATAATAATAATAATAATAATAATAATAATAATAATAATAATAATAGCAATAATAATAATAAAAAAAAAAACATGGCCTTGTGAAGGTTTGCAATGGCAAATCAGCAAAAAAAGCGCATATTAATCAGCACTTTAGTTTTAACATTTACAGGACACTATGTTTTCTCTTATAAGAGGCAAGGGACAACATCCAGATTACTTCCTATTTTAAAAAATGAAATATTAAGATTATCCTGTAGGGCTGATGAATGAAACGTGGATGACATTTTGGAGGTGTTTTGTTTTGGACTATTTAAAGGGCACATTTTAAAGACAAGGAAAGACACTTTAATGGCAAAAGAATTTTTAAAAGGTGTCAAAAACTAAGAAAGGCAATAATTCAGAACCTTTTAGCATTCAGGGTACGGAGTTCAAAGCATTTTAAAATAGTTTAGAAATCATTTTGGAACACAAAGTTGTTTGTTGGTATGAAAGTAGTGATGGAAACTAATAATTCCTCTTTTTTTAAAGTACAGATAGGGCTAAACGTATGTTAATGCCCTAAAGAAGGATAGACTTCTTGTTTCTATCTCTCTCCCGTCCTCCCTCCAAATTTTTGATGCAAAGTAGACTGAATACTAAAGAACAGCATGTAAAAAACTCCACATTAGCCCCCAAAATAAAGTAATAGCAGAGGTCACAAAAAAAAATCTAGTTTTCTTACAGATCTGGCTCTCTTAAGCTTTGCAGGTTGTCTTTGACTTTGGACAGATATTGAGGCCAAAATATCCATTGCTCAGCAGGACAGTTCTTAAACAAATTCCACCCCATTTTACCATCTTTTTTTTTTTTTTGCCAGCGTTATTAAGTGAATGTGGCTTCCCTCCATTGACTCTGCTTCTCAGGAGCCAGATGGAAAGCCACCAATGGGGATCACGTGACCCCAGGACATGCAAATGTCATAAAAAACACGCCAGTTGCTAAGCATCCAAATTTTGTTCATGGGACCATGACGCTTTAACGGTCGTTAAGTGTGGAAAAAAAGGCCATGTCACGTCTTTTTTTTTGCAGTGCCATTTGAATGGTCATTAAACGAATGGTTCCTAAGTCAAGGACTACCTGTTTTGCAGACTGAGACTGTAGGTATGAACATCCTGGATTTTAGGTTCTTGACATTCAGCAACTCAAAAAGTGGGACCCATCCTTATCCTTGGCATTGAAGAGCCATTTCTACATTTAGTTCCTGGAAAGGGGAACTAGATTTAAAATAAAAAAAAAAGATTTATAAATCCTTCGTGCCTGGAACCATCCTCTCGTCTAGAGTGAGGAGAATTCCAAAAGAAACTGAATAGAAAAGATTAACAGAGTTGGAAGGGACCTTGTAGGTCATCTAGTCCAACCCCCTGCCCAGTAGACCCTGCCCCATTTTTGACAGTTGGATGTCCAGTCTCTTCTTGAAAGCTTCCAGGGATGAAGATCCCACAACTTCCGAAGGCAACTTCTGTTCTATGAGTTGATTGTTCTTGCTGTCAGAAAGTTTCTCCTTATTTCCAGGTTAAATTTCTCCTTGTTCAGCTTCCATCCATTATTCCTTGTCTGGTCTTCAAGGGTACCTTGGAAGATAGCTTGACTCCCGCTTCTCTGTGGCAGCCCCTCAAATATTGGAAGACTGCTATTACATCACCCTGGTCCTTAAAAAAATGTGAACCTGGTTAACAGTTCAAAACTAGGTTTATTTGGACCTGTCAAGACAGGGAAAGGACAAGCAAAGGTAGCTATAGAGCAGAAGGAATCTAAACCAGGGGTGTCCAACCTTGGCAGGGTTAAAACCTGTGGACTTTAAACCAGGCTGGCTGGGGAATTCTGGGAGTTGAAGTCCACAAGTCCTAAAGTTGCCAAGGTGGGATCTCCCAGGATCTAAAAACACCGGAAGGGAAGTAAATGACAGGGGACAAAAAGAAAACAGAAGTTCTTGGAGACTCATGGTAGTAGAGGACCCAAAGGCAAATAAAACGAGGAAGGAAAAAGAAGGTGGCCAAGGGGAATTTTTTAAAAATGGTTGTATTGGCGGATGTTGTTAGAAAGAAGTTTTACATATGGAAAACAAAATTAAAGTTCAGTTCTCATAGAAATAAAGAGGAGGGGGTATATTAGGGCAGCCACCCTTCTCCAAGCCGGCGCCCCTGCGTTGCATTCACACCAAGACCGAAGGAAGAAGGGAGAAAACCGTCAGAAGACAAGAGCAAAGCCCAGCCGGGGATTAGTGGCACTGATGTCCCGCTCCACACCTTCTCCAAACTCGCAGCCGGGAGAATGACTGGGCTTAAATAAACCCAGGAGGGAATGAACGAGGGCTATCCATCCGATCCCCTCCAGAATTCCCACGGCCTCGCTGGGAGGAGGAGGGCGGGGTGGGGATTATGGGGCTGCAGATTCCCCGAGCGAACAACCAGACTAGAAACCCGGGACACTATATAGAGACCGGGAGGGAAGAAGAGGCGCCGGCTGGGCATCGGACCACTCCGCATCCCTGGCGGCGGGGATCGGCGGAGGATGCGGCGCTCGGAAGAGTCCCGGGGCAAAGAATTTCGACCACGGACCTTATTTTATTTTATTTTACTTTATTTATTTTACTTTTTGTTTTGTTTTACTTTATTTTATTCTACTTTACTTTATTATATTTTATTCTACTTTACTTTATTTTATTTTACTTTATCTTATTCTACTTTACTTTATTTTATTTTACTTTACTTTATTTTACTTTATTGTATTTTACTTTTTTATTTTATTCTATTGGGGAGGGGGGTGGTATCCGGGGAATAAGCCAGCTAAAGTTCGGAGGGGTGTGTGTGAATGGATAGCGACCCCCCCCCCACAACCCAAAGGCGGGGGGGGAGGGAGGGAGAAGAAGCGGGGAGGCTGCAAAGGGGGCGCCCCCCAGCCCAGCACCACAAGCGGGCGGCGGCGGCGGCGGCGGAGAGACAGACTGGGACCCTCCCCCAGCCCGGCGTCGTCCTCTCTCCCGCCACCCCCCCCCCCAAACTTCTCCCGGCCCGACCTCCTTCCCTGCGCTCACCTCGCCGCCCGGACTGCTGCTGCCGGTGCTGCCTGCTCTCCCTCCTCCTCCTCCTCCTCCTCCGGCGGCGGCGGCGGCGGCGGCGATCTCGGGGATGGAGGCGGGCGGCGGCGGCGGCGGCGGGGGCGGAGGCGGCGGCGGCGGAGGAGGGCAGAAGGGCTCGGCGTCGGGCTCAGGCGGCGGCTCCTCCGCGCCTTCGGGCGGCGCAAAGGGCACCATGGCGCCGCCTCCGCCGGCGCGCTCCTGCCACTCGGGGCCGGCCCTGCCTTGTGCCCGGCTGCCTCCTCCGAGCCGGGGCGGCCGCTCATGCTCGACCCTCCCCGGGCGGAGGGGACGGAAGGACGGCGCGGACCCGAGGAGCGGGGCTAGTCGGAGGCAGCCACCGGGGAGGCGGCGGCGGCGGCAGCAGCTCCGGAGCCGCGCATGGTTGGCTGGCTGGCCGACCGACCGACCGACCGGCTGGCTGGCTGGCTGGGGCGCGGGAGGCGGGGAAGCTGCTGCTGCTGCTGCTGTTGCCGCGGCGGCGGCGGCGGCCCGGCGAGCGGGGGCGGCTCTGCGCGGCGCCGGCCTCGAGGTGGGGGTGGGCCGGGGGAGGGCCGGGCCGGGGCGGCGCCTGGAGGTGGGGAGGGGGGAGCGCCCGTGACGTCAGCGGCGAGGGGAGAATCCTCTCTCTCTTTCTCTTCTCCCCCCCCCCCCAACCCGCCCAGCCCGCCCTGCGCTGAGAGAGAGAGAGAGAGAGAGAGAGCCGGCGGGGAAGGGGTTAAAAGCCGGGGGAGGACCCCCCCGGGGAGGCGTGACGTCAGCGGTTGCGTGGACACCGAGCGAGGGGGGGTGACGTCGGTGGCGATGACGTTAGCGCAGCCCGAACAAAGGAGGGCGGGCGGGCGGGGGGCGTGGGGGGGGAGGGAAGGGAGGAGGGCGAAATGGGGGAAGCCCCAGACGAGGGGGGGGGAAGGGGGAGGAGAAGAACCGAGCCCAGGCAGCAAAGGCGCCGGCCGGGGGCGGGGGCGGGTCGGGGGGCAGAAGGGCTTGGGAAAGCCAAAGCGCCCGGCCGGGGGGCTCTGCAGCCTGCCTGGGGGGTGTGCCCTGGCCAGCGGCGAAGAGGGGCCCGGGCAGGGCGTGGACGCCTCCCTTGGAGCCCGCAGCCTTAGACCGCAGTGCAATAATTGCGGGGACGGGATGGAAAAGGGATCAGATCGGGCAGGTGATAGCAGGCATCGGGAACGGCCCCTTCCTTCCTTCCTTCTTGTCCTGTCCTGTCCTTCCCTCTCCTTCCTTGGCCTTCTCTCACCTTCCTTGCCCTTCCCTCTCCTTCCTTGTCCTGCCCTGCCCTCACCTTCCTTGTCCTGCCCTTCCCTGTCCTTCCTTGCCCTTC